ACTTTATGCCAATTCATTCAATAACTTAGATGAAACTGACAAATTATTTGAAAGACACAAACTACTAAAGTTTACTCAAGAAGAAATAGATGTATATATTAAAGAAATTGTATTTGTTATTACAAACCTTTCCACAAAGTAAGCTCCAGGCCTAGAAGGCTGCATTGGTGAATTATATCAAATATTTAAGGAAGAAATAATAGCAATTATCTACAAACTTCTAGGTTGGAAAATGAGGGAATATTTAATAGCTTATTCTGTGAGACCACCAAAACCAGACCAAGACATTGTAAGTAAAGGAAACTGCAGGTCAATATCCCTCATGAAAATACATAAAATACTTTTAACAAAATTTTAGCAAATCAATGCAACAATATATAAAAGGGATAATACATCATTACCAAGTGGGATTTCTCCCAGGAATGTAAGATTGGTTTAGCATTTGGAAATTTATTAGCGTAATTCATCAATTAACACACCAAAAAGTTATATTGTCATTACAATAGATGCAGAAAAGACATTTGACAAAATCTAACATCCATTCCCAATAAAAACGTGGCTCAGCAGCCAACCAATTTTCAATACAGCCACCAACAACATACATTGGGGAAAGGACACCCTCTTCAATAAGTGGTGCTGGAAAACTGGATATCCATATGCAGAAGGCTGAGACTAGACCCCGTCTCTCATCATGTACAGAATCCAGCTACAAATGTGTTAAAGGCTTACACATAAAACATGAAAGTATGAAACTACTGGAAGAAAACATAGAGGGAAAGACTCCAGGATGTTGGTCTAGTCAAAGACTTTATGACTAAGGCTCCTAAAGCACAGGCAACAAAAACAAAAATAGCTAAATGGGACTATATTAAACTAAAAAGTTTCTGCACAACAAAGGAAACAATTGAAAGAGTGAAGAGACAACATGTTGAATGGGAGAAAAATATTTGCAAACTGTTCATCTGACAAGAAACGAATATCCAGAATATACAAGGAACTCAACTGGCGAAACAACCCATTAAAAAGTAGGCAAAGGATACCATAGACATTTCACAAAAGAAGACATACAAATGGTGAAGAGGTATATGAAAAAATGCAGAGAAATGCAAGACGAAACCACAATGAGATATCATCTTACCCCAGTTTGAATGCCTATTATAAAAACACAAAAAATAATAGACACTGGAGAGGATACTGAAAAAAGAAAACTCTTATACATTGTTTGTGGGAATGTGAATTAACACAGTCATTATGGAAAACAGTATGGAGATTTCTCAAAAAACCTAAAAGTAAAACCACCATGTGATCCAGCAATTCCACTACTGGTATTTATCCAAAGGAAAGGAAATCAGTATATCAAAGGAATTAACCCATTTATGCTGGAGGTTGCAAATTTTTTTTGGGAAAAATCAGACCTTGGCAGTGACCTTGAGCAGTAGGATATGCATAACTCCCACAAGCTTAGCATTCCAATAATGGAACACTAGGCATAAATAGGTTAATGTACCCGAATGTTCATTGAAGCACTATGCACAATAGCAAAGATATGGAATCAACCTACGTGTCCATCAGTGGATGAATGGACAAAGAAACTGGGTATATATACACAATGTTATACTATTCGGCCATAGAAAAGGAATGAAATCATGTCATTTGCAGCAATGGATGGAACCAGCATATTAAGTGAAATAAGCTAGGCACAGAAAAACAAATATTGCATGTTCTCACTTACATGTAGGAGCTGAAAGGAAGTTTGTCTCATGGAGGCAGAGCGCAGAATGATGTTTACTAGAGCCTGAGAAGGGTCAAGCGGAGAGGGGGATGAAGAGAGGTTGGTTAATGGGTACAAACATAGAGTTAAATAGAATAAATTCTAATGTTCCATAGCAGGGTAGAGTGAAAATAGTTAACAACAATGTATTACATATTTCAAAATAACTAGAAGAGAGGACTTGAAATGTTCCCAACACATAGGAGTAATAAACACTTGAAGTGATGGACACCCCAGATTCCTAGAGTTGATTATTACACACTCTATGCATGTAAGAAAATATTACATGTATTCCATAAATATGTACAAATGTTATGTACCAATAAAAAAAAAACCTCTCAGCAAATTAGAAATAGAACTTTCTCAACCTGATTAAGGACATCTTCAAAAAGCCGACGCAGATAGACTTAACAGTGAAAAGCCAAGTGCTTTGGCCATAAGATACAGGAACAAGCAAGAATGTCTGCTCTTGCCACTTCTATTCAATATGATATTTGAGGCTCTCTCAGTGTCATTAGAAGAAGAAAGAAATGATTCCCAGTTGGAAAGGAAGAAGTAAAACTGTCTCTATTTGCCCATAGCACGATTGCACCTGGAGGTTCATTGGTGTCCGTAGAGAAAGGATAGACTTTTCACCAAGTGGGGCTGGAACGTGCATATGCAGAAGAATGAACTTCAATTACACCTTCTCCCATATACAAAAAGTGACTCATAGACCTACATGTAAATCCTAAAGCTGTGAAACTTTTGAAAGAAAACCTAGAAGAAAACTTTTATGGCCTTAGGTGAAGTAAAGATTTCTTAGATACAATACCAGAAGCACACTCAATAAAAGAAAAAAATGATTAATTGGACTTTGCAAAATTAAAAACTTCTGCTCTTGAAAATACACTGTTAATGGAATGAAAAAAGAGACAGACATGGACTGGGAGAAATATTTGCAAAGCAAATATCTGGTAAAGACCTTATATCCAGAATATGTCAAGAACTGTCAGCACCAATAATGGAAAATAAATAACCTTTTTTAAAAATGGGCAAAAGATTTGAACAGATATTTCACTGAAGACGACACACAGTTAGCAACTGAATACATGAAAGATGTCTAACATCATCAGTCATTTGGGAAATGCAAATTCAAACACCTGCACACCTACTCGGATGGCTAAAAGTAAAAGGACCGAGCATACCAAGTGTTGGTGTGGATGTGGGGGTCCCAGAACTGTCATACACAGCTGGCAGGAAAGTAAAATGGAGCAGTCCCTTTGTAAAACAGTGTGTGGCCATTTCCTTAACAGTTATGCATATATAAAAATATACACAAATACTTAAAAAGTTAGGCTGAGAGCACCTTGGAGCAGGACCCAGGACAGGGCACAGCTGGGCATGAGGGTATCTGCCAGCCTCTGGGCAGGGCAGATCCAAGTTTTGTGGGGCCTGAAGCTTGTATGACTTGGGTGGCCCTCTGCAGGGAAAATAATTTTCAAATGAGTCAAGATTAGGTACAGAAGTGAATATTTAGGAAAAACCAAGTGACCACAAATTCCTGGAGCTGTGGATCTCCAGGTTTCTTTTATTTTTCTTTTTTTCCAAGTTATCTTGAGATATTTTTCTATCTGGCTTCCCCTCCCCATCTCGCACACTCAGCCATTCCAGCCTTCGTAGCGCAAATGCTGTGCAGCACTGCTGTCCCCAAGGCAGAGCTGCTTCCAAGTGGCAACCTCGGTAGGTGGCAGTGCCCACACTCTTGTGAGTGACCACAGCAGCCAACCGAGCAGCCTCTGGGGTTGGGCTCCGCTGTCTCAGCCTCCAGCTCCCTTCCTACCCACCTCCACAGCTCTGCTGCCCAGCGGCTGTCTGAGCCCTGGCGAGCAGGGCTTGCCTGCGTAGTGAAGGGCTCCAGAGGGCATCGCAGAGGCCAAACCAAGTAGGCTGCTCCTCACCCTCCTGAGCATTGGGCCCCACGGCCTCTCCCCCTGCCTCCCCACAGGCCCGCTGTGGTGCCCTCAGCCAGGACACAGCCCCGCCCTCTGCCTCTGCCTCAGCCCTCAGAGCAGCCTACTTGGTTTCCCCAGTTCTTGGCGGAGAGATGGCAGGAGGGAACGTGGGATGGCTGAGAGCCCAGAGCCGGGACTTGAATCTCTGGCTGTGCCACTCATTCGCTGTGTGCATTCAACAGGTTACTTAATTCCTCTGTGCTTCAGTTTTCTCATCTGTAAAATGTGGTTGGAAATAGTACCTTCCTCACGGAGTCACTGTAGAGGTTAAAGAACCCCAGGAGGGCATGTGCGTGGCAGCTGTGCTTGCCAGAAGGGTCACAGGCACTTACTAGCTGCTCAGTAAGCGCTGGTCCTATCTGCTCTCCATCCCTGGGTCACAGGCTCCAGCAAAGCATGGCTTGGGCCTACCCACCCCCTGGGAACACAGGTCTGTGGCTCTCACACCCTACTAGCAGATAGTCCTGGGATGTCGCGGGTAGGGTGTATAAAGACAAACTCATTCTTGAAAACCCTAAAATTACCTGTAAAGTTCAGTATAAATAGTTTTTTTATATTTCCCGAAGATCAATTCGCTTACACATGAAAACTTGAAAACCAGAGGGGAAAGTCAGTTCACAAGCAACTGTCTTGAGTTTTCCCATCCTTCTGCCTTTAGGTACCGATCCACTGTCTAGCCATGAGACGGGTGTGGTGGAGTAATCTGGGGCGCTGTGCTGCATCCTGGTTTAACATCCAGCCTGTGACCTTCATATATACAGAGACTCTTGTCTTCATGGTGGGGAAGGGAGGCCCTAATCTCCGAGCCAAAGTTAAAAGCACATAGTGACGTTCAGCTGTGTTCTTAGAGTGGGCAAAATTGATTTGTAACAAAGCATAAAGTGAGGCCACCCTGGGGCACTGAAAGTCTCTGAGCTAGCCTAACATCTGCATGCTTTTTTTTTTCTAATAGTGTCCTGGGGTGCTTTAAATTATTTCTATTTTGGCATGGGAAAATAACAAAGTGAGACTAAGGGAAAAAAGAGAAAATGGGAAAGGGCTCCAAATAAAGAGGTGTGAGGTGTGAAAGAGATGGACTGTGAGATAAAAGCAAAGCTCAGCTGTTGCTGGAAGGACTTTGAGAGTATCCCACAGGGAGTAACGCTGACTAGTGCTGGGGATGGAGAGTGGGCTGCGGGCAGGGACCCGGCATTGCACAGGGACCCTGCATAAGCCTGTGTCTCCCTGTCTTGCAGGTGGTGCCGGGGAGCGGGAGAAGGTGCCGGCCAACCCCGAGGCGCTCCTGCTCATGGCCAGCTCCCAGCGTGACATGGAGGACTGGGTGCAGGCCATCCGCCGGGTCATCTGGGCCCCGCTGGGCGGAGGTACTGCCCGTAGATCGCATGCCCACCCTCTAGAACCCTTGCCTCCAGGTAATAATGGCCCCTGCCTGTCTTGAGCCCCCAAAGACCCCGCTCACTGGGGACTTGCTGGCTGCATCCTGTGCTTCTCACAGCAAGCTGGCCCTTCCACTGCCAGCCCTCGGGAGTCACCCAACGATTGCCGTGTACTCACTTCCTCCTTTATTGAAAACTGTGTATCAGACGTCTAAATGTACTGGATTCTATTCCAAGGGTGAGGAATTCATGAGGATAAGCCACACCTCCACTGTACCTCAACTCCATTCTCTGCAGGAGGGATGGTAGACGAGGACATGTGTCTCGTGGTGTCCAGGGGTGAGACATGCCACAAAGCCAGTGAAGCTCAGTGAGAGGGCGGCGGGGGTGTGGCTAGGTGGAGTGGCCCAGCAGACTTAATGCAGCGACGGGGAGCCAGGGGCATGCTGGGGAAGAGCATTACGGCAGAGACATGGACATGTGCAAGCGCCCCGAGGTAGGGACGAGCTATGGGAACACGAGCCATGCCAGGAAGGCTGGGGCTCCAAGGTGGTGAAGACCAGGAGAGTGGGACGGCCTGAGGTGAGAGTGGTCACCAGGGTCTTGGAGTCCTGATGGGGATTTTTTATTTTGTTCTATATACAGTGGGATACCAGGAGGGCTCAGAACAGGAGACACACGGGACCTGGATTTATGAAAAGGGCCCCCTGGCCACCACATGAGGAATGGACCATAGAGGGACAGGAGTGGACACAGCAGGCCAGGAGAGTCCATGGGGTGGGCATGCAGCTGACGGTGCAAAGTGGCCAGCTGCAGGTGTATCCTGAAGGTGGAGCTGCCAGGCTTTGCCTATGGTCTGGACATGGGGTATGAGAGAAATGAAAGGTGACTCCCAGCCATGCAGTCGCTATCTCTAGGTTGGTGTCCATATGAAGTGGTCATGTAAAGACGTTTCATAATGGGATCACCATGGCATTGGGGCCAGGGCCACCAACTCCCTGCTGAATGTGGAGACTGGGAGTCTGAAAGCTGGCCGGACTCTGACCACACAAGCTATGGACGTCTTCTTTCTCCCTATGGTGTTTGATCAGCACACAGTCTGGGCAGGGACTCACCTTTTAGGGCTCTGGGCCAATCTCCAGATTTCACAAGCCCCGGCTGAGCCCCTTCTTTTGCTCCTCTGTTTGCCCACTATCGTCTCCCACCCCTGGCTATGGTCTGCCTGACTACCTTTCATTGAATCATAAATCCCTTACAAGGAAGAGTCAATACAATATTGAGAGTAAAAGTTGTTCTCTCAGGCTTCATGAATGATATCACTCTGTCAGCCTTGGTCCCCCTGATCCCTGAAGGTTGCAGCACATTTGACTTATGGCCCCAGATTAATGGCCTGGAAAGGCCTAAGCCCACCCAGGGATTTCTGCAGCTTCACAATGGCTTCCTTTGGTTCCAGGTTGCTGAAAGTGAACCAGTGGAACAGGATAGAGCCCAGAAGCAGAATCTTACATAGTTGGACTTTGATGTATGTCAGGTGACACTTTTGAGCATCAGGGAATGAATATTATCATTATCTTGGGGTAGAGAAAGATTTTTTAAATGAGGTACAAAAAAAATCACTAATCTATTATGAAATTGTTGATAAATTGTATTTTATAAAATGAAGAGCATCTGTTTGTAAAAAGTAGATTAAGAAAATGAAAAGATAAGCTATAGATTGGGTGAAGGTGTTTGCAACACATATGGTCATCAAATTACTCACTCCCCACACTCCTACAAATGAATGAGGCAAAAACAGACAAGGCAGCAGAAGCATGGGCAAGAGACTTGGACAGGCATTTCCTAAAAGAAGAAATCCTCATGACAGTGAACATAGGCTCCTGCGCACAACCTCTTCAGTAATCAGGGAAATGCAAATTAAATCGCAATGGGATACTTGTGTGCACCCACCAGAATGACTAAATAACTAAATGGAAAAGACAGTTTCAAGTGGTGACGAGGATAGAAAGCTATAGAAACTAGCACATATTGCTAGGGAAATCAGCAGTGTCTGCTGAAGTTGATGCTGTGCACACCTGTGTCCCAGCAATTCCATATGGAGCATGTCCCACATAGAAATGTGTGCACAGGGAGGCCAGGAGACTTGGATACATGGGATGTGCATGGCAGCCTTACTGATGATAGCCTGACACTAACCCAAGTGCCCAGCAACAATACAATGGATGAATAACTATGACTCAGTCTTACAGTGGGAAACTCCACAACAATGAGAATGACTCTATTACAGTGCCACCTAAAAACATGCATGAATCTTAAAAACAATGTGGAACTAAACCCAAACAAACAAAAACATAACATGTTGTATTATCTATCTATATAAAGCTGGAACACAGGGCACAAGTAAACTATGTTATTTATAGATAGATAGGTAACAGAATATAAAGAAAAGCAATGAATGCCATGAAAGTCAGGATAGTAGGGAGGAGGGAAGAGGTTAAGATGGGATGGGAGAGGGGCATAGATATCTGAAATGTTCTCTAGCATGACTTGGGTAGTTCCACAGGTGTTCCTTTTACAATGACATGTTTATCTGCACATTTATGCTTTAAGAGCTTTTCTAGATGTGTGCATATAAAAAATAAATGAAACAAAGGGAGAAACTTGGGGTCGAAGAGTGAGATGACTTGCCCAAGATGACACGGCCAGCTAGGGGGCAGAACTGAGAAGTGGAAGTGGATGTTCTGATCTCGAAGACTGTGCTTGGTCCTGGCCCAAATAGCCCATCCAAGAGCTGCACCAAGACCTGCACCCAGCAGGCCTGGCTCCCCAGCCACACGTCCATCTCCCTCTCTGCTTGCTCAGATTTGGGGACCTTTGGCAGAATCCCACATAGACCCTAGACTGACCCCTTCCCCAGGCCTGGCATTTATCTGCCTTCCCAGGCTGTGTGCTGAAGAACTCACAACCATTAAAATAGGAACTGCCATCAAAGGCGCTTATCTCCTTTTTCCCCGGGAGTACAGAGGAAATGCAGAAATCTCAGGAGTCAGCGATGCTAGGCGTGTCTGGGCATGCATGGTGCTGGCAGGTGGGCTCAGTCGGCCCCTGAAGGTTTTCTGGCAGAGCTGTTATTAGCCCGCATCCTCTGGGAAGGAGGCTTAGAGGATCCGTCCTTCTTTGGCTGTTTTGTGACAGAGCCCCTGAGCCCTTCCTGGGGTGCTTATTCTGGCACAGGCAGGCCACCTCTGACAGACAGGAGTGGGCAGCGTGCCCACTGCTGATGGCACAGCCCAGCCATCCCCTTGAGAAGTGGGAGCAGGCCACTGGTCAGGGGAGCCTCACTGCTGGTGGCCTGCCCAGCCCACTAAGCTGTGGCCCCAGCTGGAGTGCCTCTCATTTGGGCATTCATTGGGTCATTCAGCCAATCTGCCGTGGACTTGCAAATGTTCTAGGGGCTGAGGAGACAGCAGTGAGCTGGAGGGACAGGCACTGGCCTCATGGTGCTCACGTGCTAGTAGAGGAGGTGGGTGACCAGCTGAGCAGACATGTGGCAGGTTAGATGGTGGTGGGCACAGTGGGGACAGAAGAGGCAGGGAGGGGAACACAAGAGATAGGGTTAGGGTTTGGTGACTTTTGAGTAGAAGGAAAGAAAGGGTGGATGACAGCACAGGCAGAGGTGGGGGATCCATCCCAGAAGAACAGCAAGGAGGCCAGTGTGGCCACAGCAGAGTGGGCAAAGGGGTGGAGAGAGACCACAGAATGAATGACCTTGTCATCATGGTAGGGCTGTTAGCACCTCATGGCGTGGAACAGAGAAGTGGCAGAGCCTGGCCCATCCTCTACCAGGATCCTTCTGACTGTCATGTTGAGAAGAGACCAAAGCCAGTTAGGAGCTCCTTATACAACAGTGCAGGTGAGAGGTGAGGGTGGCCTGGCCCAGTGATGGTGGCGATAAGAAGTCATTGAATTATTGATTTATTTTGAAGGTAAAGCCAGTGGTATTCCCCTGCTAAGATGGATGAGAGGTATATGAGAATGAAGGAGAGAAGTTAAGGGTAATTCTGGGATGTTTTGATCTAAGCAATGGGAAGCTAATGGGTTAGCTATTAACTGAGATAGATAGACTACAGGAACTGCAGCTATTTGAAAGGAAGATATGGGCCTAGTTTGAGATACCTATAAGATGCTCAAGTTCAGATGTCAAGTAGCAGGTAAATATCTCAGCCTAGAAATCAGGAGAGAGGACTGGGCTAGAGAGAGAATTTAGGGGGCCATCAGCCCATAGATGGGGTTTGAAGTCATGAGGCTGGATGAGACAGACAGAGCGGGTGGAGGGACAATAGAGGAGGTGAGAAAGAGAGCAAGCCCCGAGAGGGAGGAGAGTCAGAAGCCACCAGGGTCCCTGAGCCAAGTGAAGGAACAAGGGCAGTGATCAGCTGCAGCAAGTGCTGCTGATAAATCAGCCAGAGGGTGAAAGCTGAGCAGTCGTTGGTGACTTGAGCAAAGGGGCTTTTGTGGAGTGCCTGATAATAATGGGAATGAGAAAGGATGATAGGAGGGGAATTGGAGTGACAGCATAACCAACTCTTTCAAAAAGTTTGCAGGAAAGGGAAAGAGAGAAATGTGGACAGCAGCTGGAGGAGGAGGTGAGGTAAAGAGGAAGTTTGTTTATTTTTTTAAGCTGGAAGACAAAGCATCATTGCAAAACATTGATGGTGCAGGAGGGACAGAGAATTATTGCTGTAACACCAATATTTCTTATGGATATAGATAAAAAATCATCCATCAAATACTAACATGCCGAATCCAAAGAATTATACCCCATGACCAAATGAGATTTATCCTAAGAATGGAAGGGTGATTTAATCACCTGAAAATCAATTAATGTAATATATTAACAGAATAAAGGACAAGAACACATGACCATCTTAGTAGACTAGAAAAAGCATTTTATAAAATCCAGCACCCTTTAATGATTAAAACACTCCAGAAACTAGGAATAGAAGGGAACTTCTACTCTATCCCTAGGAATAGAAGGG